CCTCCCTCCCCTCCCTTCACGGAGATCCGGCGCTGCTGATACTCGGACGCCTCGCTCGACCATCCGTAGGGTGTGGTCGCTTTGCGAGCGCAAGCAACAGGATCTATAATACGATTATGAAGATTATTGTTATAATAGTAATAATAATAATAAATAAATAATAATAAATAGTAATAATAAATGATAATGATATTATTATCATCATTGTTTGAGAGTGCAGGACCTTCACACTTGCTTCAACAGGTCAACTTCAATCAAGCTCGAACAAAATTCCTTACTACAACGTAGGTGTCCAGTACTACAAATTTCTGTATTATTGATAAATAATGCGTTTATATAATAATAATAATTATTATTATTATAATTAACATTGTTGGTGTTAATGCGATTATCACCGTTCTAGGACCAAGCTACACGATGCCCTCCGAGGCCCAGTCATTTTTATTCGGGAGAGATTAACGTATTTTTATTCATTATGAGGATCAGCTTTTTCGGCTGTTTCCATTGATTAAACAAGGTTGTTGACCTTGAATAATGAACTATAAAATGATAAGATGACGGTGAAGGGTGAAGGGACAATCACAAATGTGACCATGCATACATAGGAGTCGAACCTGCAGCCACCTCGGCGCAGACGACTGCTGTCACAATCGGCTGCGCCATGGGCAGGACCGTTATTATTATTATTGTTATTGTTATTGTTGTTGTTATACATAAGAGACAAATGGGTTGTGTAGGTCAAATGAAGATGTTCCGCAGCTTTAATAGTTGAGACTCCCTTTAGACAACGCTTTCCAAATCCTTTTCACTTATTGAATTGTTCATGTTTTTGCACCTTCTAATATCTTTTGTTGTAACCCTTTGTTAAACGTATTCTGTTCATATGTTTGTATAGTTTTTTGAAAGGTTATATGTCAAAATATTAATGTCTCGGGGATATTGAATGTTTCAACACTTTTTACTCTCTCCCTGCGGAGTAGAACGTTATGTAATGCTGCGCGAAAAAACAGCGAATTGTCGGTAGAAAATATCTTATTACAGGACCCTCGTAACGGAAAAGGAAAAAAAAAAACAGTTTATACATTTATTAAAAAATTCTACTTCACGTGCTGTAACCAAAATTCATGTTTTGTGAGTCCTTGATACCGACAAATCGAATGACGGCAAAGCGTCTGTCCATCTGTGAACAACCCTAGAGGCTAAACCGTTCAGTCGATTTTCTCCAAAATTGATATTTCTCAATCGATCTGGCTGATGGTTAGACCTCTTGAATTTGAAACTGATATTTCAGTTTTGGGGGACAATTTACATCAATCCTCTGGAATATTTTTAAAAAAATGACTCTATCGTTTTTGATTAAATTTTGTCGTTGGATAGTGTAAAGAACATTTAAGAGAATTGTGTAGATGTCAAGTTCGTAAAAAAACCCTGATTTTTCGAAAATTGCAAAAGTTCAAAATGTTTCGATGTCTTCGTACTACTACCCTTTTAAACATTGCGATTTTCCCTTAATGAAATCTGTTCCTTATAGAGAGATTTTGAAATAAGGTCAGGTACAATTTTTCGTAAATTGAGTACTTGTTGTGTAATTTTGTCTAAAAATACGGGGGAGAAAGTATGTACTGTTTAAGCCTCATTAATTTGGGTTAATTTATTGTGTTTTTTTCGTTCAGGATATTCATATTAAGGTATTATTATAATATTATTAATTATTAATAACTATTTTTTCTTATTAAGGCATTTCACCACGACAGAAACAGTGTAGAGTCTCGGGAGGCACAGAGTTTGTTAGATGCATATCGGATTTAGATTGGATTAGATACATATCGGACGCTTTAGGGACGTTAGCTATATCATTGGGGAATTATTCACACGAGGATGGGGATGATATTAATTGACCGTAAGGGACTTCCTCAATGAAATTTAAATGCATTTGTATCGTACGCACAAAAACGTTGTGCTGTGTTTCCGATGGAAGGCTCAGTGAACGTAAGACATAACGGTCGATGTTGGGAAGCTCGAAGCTATGTCGTTCACATTACCGTTGTATGAGATAAATACACTATCGTATATAGCAGCAAAATGCAAAGAACATTTGGCATTTAAAAAATGCAATTTGAAATAACTTCCTTTCCGTTTTTCTTCTTTGATCAAGAACATAACGTAGCGTTCGTTCATGGTGGTAGAAATGGTTATCATACCAGCGTGATCGTAAATTTGATCCGTTATTAAGATTTTTTAATAAGTTGCATTGATTTCGATCAAAAATTACGCGAAATCGGTTTTCTTAAAAAATATAAAGTCTTTTTTAAATATCTATTTTTAAAAGCATTTTTCTTTGAAAAAATCTCTATCATGTATTTTGAAATGTTAATTTTTTGAAATTTTGGAATGCAGATTGTTTGCCAGAATGGGAACGATCACCAATTTTGTACTCTGCGACGTACTAAGTAAAAATTTAAAGAAAAAATCTAAGCTCTTTTGGAAAAAAAATATTTTTCAATGTCTACATTTCAAGCCAATTCGCACAAAAATTGTCATATTTTCAAAAATTGTACATGGCCTTATTGAAATTAATATTTATTAGTGAAAATCAGACTTACACCGCATTTATAGGTGTGTTGTACTCTATTCATACAAGAATTTTAAAGCAAAAATCTGGAGCCATTTTGAGAAAATTTTGAAAATGTCCCATGGGCTTCATGTAAAGTACCCCCAAAGTATAAAGAATATTTTTCAAAATTGCCGGGCACCCAGATCGATCAGGGAATTTTCCCCAGCATTACATAACATTTTCTATAATATGTATATTATTCCGTATACGAGAAAGTAAAAAAAATGTCGCCATTTTTGGGAAAAGCTTCATCTTAAGTACTCCAAAAATGAAATATTCAGTTTTCAACTCTCAGGATTTTCATCAGGTTGATCAAGGAATCTCAGTTAAAAAAAAACATCTGAACGGTTCAGGCCCGAATGTTTGCCGCAGTCAAGCAGACGGAGAGGCATACAGATCGATGGATGGGCGAAGACGTTTCGCCTTCAGCTAGTTTTTCGGTTTCAAGGACCCAAAATATGTTGAATCCTACAACACAGTGTGTTAGAGGAAACAATGTCCCTGACATAGAAGCAATATTTTCCCGATTTTTCGATATCAGGAACTCACAGTGCTAATGCTGCTCTCGAAAAATCGCCGCAGAATTACATAACTTTTTCTTTAACACGTAAGTACCTAGTGAGGCGGAAAGGTAAAACATGCTAACACACACGGTTAACGTGGCATATATTTGTATTCGTTGAATAATCCATTTTCAAGCAAAAATTAGAGTGTAATTTATTCTGAAAACCGTTCTTTGAGAAAACTATCACAGTTGAACGACTAAGCAGTATTAAATATATTATTAAAAGCGATAGATTTATTAAAATTAACCTTTCAATTTGAACGTTTTCACGACGTATAAGTCAATGCGATTTCCAGAAAAGGAAACATTTTCAGAGTGAGAATTTATCTTTGAAAACCGTAGCTTTCATTAAAACTGGCCGACAAATGATATTAATTAGTACTCAATTTGTATAATTTGCAATGGAATTGGTTTGACTATTGAAGTTTTAACATTCTGGAAAATATTCTTTACATTATAGAATTGGAAACAACTCTATTGTAACCATTTTACTTGAAGTTTTATTGGAATATTGATTTTATTCTCAATGGTAACTTCTATAGAATTACTTTCAGTATTTTAATTAATTTCACATGTCAGATTGACATTCACCATTCTTTTTTGAAACCAATTAATCCTGAGAAAGAAATCAGTTTAATTAGGAGAAAAGTTAATTCACATACCCTTTTGCAGGTCGGTATTCTTTCGTCGTTGGCTTGCAATTATCTTTTCAAACGGTCAATTTCAATTTCGACCAATCATCGTTCAGCGTTCAAAGCTGGTTTTGCACTCCACAACTCGTTTATTTGGGGGCTGCGTTGAAACGTACACGAGTGAGGAGCGAAGGTGTGAACACACGGGTGCGCTCGAGAGTTAGTGGCCAGGGGCCATCGGAGGAGAGAGGGGCGAAATGAGCGTTTGGGAAACAATGAAGAGGTGACTTCGAATAGAAAATGTTATGTAGGAAAATAAATACAAACTAGTGGGGGTCAAACATCACGTATTCTCTCTCCCGTATTTTCACGCAAAGTTACGCGACAAGTTCTCAAAAGTTTTGAATAATTGTACGTGGCTTTTTTTAAATCACTATAAGTTAAAACAGACTAAGTGAGGCTTAATCAACACGTACTTTTATCCCCCGTACTTTCAGGCAAAATTATGCGATAAGTGCTCCAATTTGGGAAAAATTGTACCTGACATTTCTAAACCTTATCTTGAAGGGACATATTTCTTTAAGGGACAATGTCTCTATCTCTAAAATTTTTGTTGTCGGAAGACTTCGGAAACCTTTTTGAAATTTTACAATTTTCAAACAATCAGTGTTTTCACCGAACGCGGGACCTACACCTTTCTCATAAGCGTTCTTTTCACTATCCACTGGCAAAATTTAATAAAAAAACGATGGAAACCTTTTTTTGAAAATTTGAGAAATACCCCAGGGGCTGAATGTAAAGTGCGCCTCAATATTGAAATATCG